GATTAGGACTCTTGTAATCTCCTATTTAAGGAGACCCCATTATTGAATGAGATATCAAATTATTCAGTCAAGAGTGAGTTAGGAGAGTTGGTGATCTCTTGGACAAATCACCAAAGGCACCAAGATAGGTTCATCACGAGCAGGAAGGAACAAGGGAAAACAGGAGGTTTTCCCCGTGGACTGACCCGTGACGAGATCCTATTCCCGGGCCCTCAACAATCTACCATAAATAATCTCCATATAAATCCAGTTATATGGAATTTCTTTTTCTTTTGTTTTTTATTATCAGTTCTTTTGTTTTGAAAGTTTTTCCAACTCCAACAACAGAGTACTAGATTTGTTAATGTACAATTCGTCTTTGAAGTTCTGAAAGTTTTTTCTGTTTTGAATGTTTTTGGTTAAAAGAAATATAATTGGTTGGAGAATCCTGAAGAGCTTCCAGATTGTAGCATATTACTATAATTCTAAGTTTTTTTTTCTCCTTGTTTGGAGATATGTTCGACCCACTGATCAATACATAAAGAGCATCATATAAGTCCAAAGCAGGGAATGAATCCAGAAAAGGAGCTTGCTGAACACATTTTTTTATGCTTCTGCTATAATACAAATTTGCACTACTAACAAACAGTTGGTGTTCACAAAAGCAAGTTCAAATTGAACTATTCAATTGGTCAATTATAACTTACCCGATGTGGCCATATCTCCTCTGAAAGAGTTACGAGGCTTTTCAACGAAAGTAATGAAGGCCAGGTCCCCTCTATCTCAATTTACAAAGACTGAGCTAAGTGCATAACCATGAATGTGGGCATTTTTAGGATGGCATTTATTTAATCGCCACCATATGTTAGTTTCAGTTGAAAATTTATATTTGCCACTACATACAGGTGTTTTCAACCCACCATTAACCTCTCACTCACTCTCTCTTTCTCTCAATTTTTAATATAAAAACCTTTATTACCTCAAATCTCAATTTTTTAATATAAAAATTAAGAAGTTAAGCTAAAATTATATATACCGTTGGAATAAATGAATCCAAAAGTGAGCCATGAAACACTCGTACCGGCGGATGTTAAAAAACTGATTAAATTGATATAATAATATATCGACAGAGTATGAATTCCGTCGTATAGTATGCAACTATAGTGACATATTACGAATTCCGTCAATATTGTGTGGAATTACATACAAAATAATACAAAATCCAAGGTTTGTATTCTGTCAATATGCACTCTACATATTTGTATTGTACTCTTTCCAAACTGAGCCTAAAGTGCAAATTATGCAACTCTGGCATGTTCAAAAGTTATGTCATGTAATCTCCTTGTATTACATTACTCACTGCTATCGTCCGTTTTGATCTATCTCTTCAGGACAGTGTCGAGGTAGGGAGTAGCATGGATAAAATCCATGAAGATAACGTAGGAAATGAAGCCTACACCAATCACATCTCTCACCATTAGTTGACATTCAAAGTATGCTAAAATGATGATGATGATGACCACAGGAAAACAATAAAGATGCAAGGATAGAACAAAAAAATGGGATGGGGGATAGGGATGTGGAGGTTTTATTGACTTATTTACCTTATTATTCCTTAATTTTAATTGATATCTGGAATCTAGACCATGGTTTGAAATTTGAAGTTAGCTTATATTAGAAAGGATCCATGCAAAGAATGGACTGGTGTTAAAAACATCTATATTTTGCAGTGGAATTTACTTTTATGTGCAGTTTGTGTAAGTGACCTTACTAATGTTAAATAAATTTGTGTATTTATTGTTCAGCAAAAGAATTAATGGTTTTAAAATGACTTTCTTGGAATGTTGTCTTTAGATATATTCTTACAATTTTTATTATAAAAAATAAAAAACTTTGATGGTCTTTCAAGCAATGAGAAACTGGACAAAAATGGATCATATCAGAACATGTAGATCCATAATTGGTTTTGTAATGCTTGAATGCAAATGTTATTCATTAAATCTAGAACAAGATTGATTAGATATGAAAATTGAATACCATTATTAGAAAAAATTAGAACTCAAAATATTTAACAAATTTAACTAAAAACTTTATTTATATATCATAAATACAACAAATTGGAAATAACATTTATGAGACTTTGTACTTAAATTTGTAGTAACTATACAACATAAAAACTAGCTTACTAATAAACAGATGTAAATTTGGGTAAATTACAGACACCCACCATCTACTTAATTAGAGGGTTCTTTCTTGTGATAAATCAATGTTATAAGATCGAGACAAGGGCGTCAAGCAGGGGAACCATAAGGCATTCCAATTTTTAAGGTGGTAGTTTTCAGGGTTTTGAAAAATTGATAGAACTAGTCAAAACTTAGCAGACTTGAGAGCCAATCGGGTTTCAATGAAACATATGGTTTTTGCAACTTGCCTGAGTTAGTGAGGGGATGTTTGGGATCAATGTCAATTTCCCGAAAATCATTCTCATGTTAGAGCCACGTTAGCATTAGAGGAATCGGTGCTGAAATTTCTGTTTGGTTGGCCGAATTTGGTGATTTCCTTTAATTGGCCATTTATCATGAATTACCATTTTTGACGATTCCCTGATTTCCAGCTGATTCCGCTTTTTTGAAGTTGAGATGGCATCCAATGTGGAAAAAAATAATTGGCCCTTGAGAATTAGTACCAAAAAGATTCAAAGTCTATTTATCAAAAATTGACTTACATGGTACAAATAATACCAAACAACAAAAATCACTAATTCTTGAAAAGTCATTCATTTTAAAAATTATCAACTTTTTGAAATATCAATAAGGAAGAATCATCTATGCCGAAGATAACCTAATTTACTATAAATCTTCAAATGCCTATAGGAAGAATTGAACTCATAACTTTGCTATAGATAACTAATTTTTAAATGCTTTAAATATCAAAATTTTTCATACTAAATCATATTTTAAAAATTGTTTGAAAAACCAAAAATAGATTAAATAACAAAATTATGTAATAACTTTAAAAATTTTATCAAAAACATAATTAATTATAATAATATTCGAAAATAAGAATATAAAATATAAATAATTGAAATAGTGAAAGTATATTAAATATCTTAGAGGTATTGAAGCCTATTATCAGTTATTTATTGTATTTTTTTATAAATATATTTTTTAGTAATTGTGTATTTTTGTTATAAATTTTTAATAATTATTGGAGATTAAACCATTGTTATTTGTTAGAGATTAGAATATTAATTTTGTTGAAATTATTAGTGTTAAGTAGGTGTTTCAATTCGTCTGTAGACAGTTTGGCCAGCCAAATTGATCTGGTCGGTTTGGAGAGTTGGTCACTTGAAACTGACCGACCATTAGTGAAATTGACCAACTTAAGTTGTATCAGTCAATCTTTTCAAAATCAACTCAGAGACCAATCCTACTTTTGTATTTGGGCTGCGGCCACCAGTTCAACTGTTCAAGTTGAATGGGTCAGATTGTTCCATGTGCATCACACGGGTGCTCGCTAGACCTAGAACTAAGGTTGGGTGATGGTTTGAGTGGTTTAATCAGTCAGATCAATGGCGTGTTGAAAACATTGGTATTGGTTTGGGTTGATTTTTAGTTTGTTTAGTCAATTTAAAAGATTTAAACTAAAAAACTTAAATTTTGAAATTAAATGAAATTCAAACATTAAAATAATATTATCAAAGAATAAATTAAAAAATAAATAAATTTGCAATATAAAACATTTTAGATTAAGAAATATAGTAATTTTCCACTTTTCTATATTAAAAAAATATATTTGAAATATAAAATATTAATATATATCTATAATTAGGTCGATTCAATTTTGGTCAATTAACAAATGGCCAAACCAAAACTAATCCAACTTGATCAAGTTTGGAAGTTGTTGAATCGACACTGACTAGAAATACTAAAAAGTGATCAGCTTGGGTCGAGTTAGGTTGGTTTGGTCAATTTCATCGATTTGATGAACAATCCTAGCTGAAATTAATTATTGTTAGTTTTGTATTGAAAAAATTATAAAAAATAGTATATAAAATATAAAGAATTATTGATTATTTCAAAATTAAAATATAAAAACCCTTAATAAAGTTCGCATGTAGCATAGGTCCCCACTAGTAAATACAAAAGGAAATTGTCTAAAACTCACCATGTCACTAATTGGACGTTAAACAGACTAAAGGTTGTTAATATATTACCATTTTACCCTTCATAGAAAAATATATAATTTATACATATATTTTGATATTTTAACTAAAAGATAAAAAAAAAAGAAAAAGTTCAAAAAATACTTTCAAGTATAAAATACATAAAAAACATAGAAACTACAAAAAATATAAAAAATTATAGAAATTGCAATCAAAATAAAAATTATTTTTAAATTATAAAAACCATAGAAATTGAAAAATAAAATAAAAAATAAAAATTATAGATAAAACACCAAAAATAATAGAAAAACACAGAAATTGAAAATAAACAACAAAAAATATAGGAAAATTTATAGATTGTAGAAAATAGAAAAATGTAAAAAACGAAATTATAAAAACATTGGAAATTATAACAAAACACTCAAAATGCAAAAAAAAAAAGAAAATAGAAAGTTCAAAAAGACAAAAAAACTCCAAAATATAAAGATTGGATAAAAACACAAATTGAAAATATACATAAAATGGTAAAAAATATATAGAAAAAAGTAATTAATTTTAGAAAACAAGAAAATGATAAAAAAATAATTGTAAAAATACGTAGTGATAAAAATTTATATATATATCAATTAAAAAAGAAGAAATTTCAAAAAAAAAAGAAATGCTCATTTTTTAAAAGAAATTTATAAACTTTAGAAAAAGATAAATAATTGAACACAAACTGCAATAAATTTTCAGTAGAATCAAGCAAAAATTAGACATTGCGGCCAAGGAATACTGCAATAAATTTTCAAAAAAATATTCTAAGCAATCAAATAAAAATTTACAAAATAATTTTTGTATGAATTTGTAAAGCCCTAGGTGGAGATTTATATTCTAGATTCAAGTTGCAAAAATTCACAATAATTGCAAATGTTTTAAACACTAGAAATCTCTAAAATTTCTTACCATTGTATTCGTTCCTCCACATCTTTAATCCCGAAATATGAATGAGTGAGAGAGGGATAGTGGTGGTGCAGTGGTGGCCTTCAAATGGTAGATCTAAGCAATAGAGAAAGAGAGGGTGGAGGTGGTGTTCTGCCGGATTTCCATTGTAATCTCTTATCAGTTAGTAAGTTGACTACTGATATGATTGTACTATCATCTTCTTCCATACTTTCTGTGTGATACAGGACCTAACCCACAAGAAGTTGATTGGTATGATAGACTTCACAATGGATTGTACCTATTTTCAGATCGCTAGTCATCGGTGAACCACACTCGATTGTCCCATCCAACCCACAGACATGGCATTATTGACTAGGCCATGCTTCATATAATCGTTTCTCTCTCATACAATGGTTACATGTTCCACATTCAAATGAAGACTATTGTGATGCTTGTAATAAGGCCAAAATGACACGGCTACCTTTTCCTGTGCGACAAGCTAAATCTAATTCTTGTTTTGATATCATTCGTTGTGACATTTGGGGGGGATATCGTACCCCATCACTGTCCGGTGCTCATTATTTCTTGACAATTGTTGATGATTGTTCACGTGCAACTTGGGTTTTCTTACTAAAAACTAAATCTGAAGTAGCCACATACTTGCAACAGTTATGTGTTTATGTTAATACTCAATTTCAAACACCAATTTATTGTATTAGCTCAGATAATGGGCTTTAGTTTTGTTCAGGCCAAATGAAGTCTTTCTATGGTCCATAATCATGACAAATTCTCTCCACGGTCCACAAAATGTGTATTTCTCAGATACCCACATGGCCAGAAAGGATATTGAATCTACGATCTATACACCTAGCAAATATTTGTCTCAAGGGATGTTTAGTTCTACGAAGATTAGTTCCCATTTGTTCATGGTGATAGGATAACAAATTCTAAGACAGAAAATGTGATGGGACACATTGAACCCAAACCAATCATCTTGGATGAAACATGGGAAAATTCCACTAGACTCATGATGAAGACCCATGTTGAACAGGTTGAATAGAATCCCACATCACAACTTGAACACATTGAAGCATCCAAACCTAATCAACATCAAGATGAAATCCCAGCTGCACCTTCTAGGCTCAACACTAGGCCTATGAGAACCACTTGGATTCCCAAATGTTTTCAGGACTATGTGTGTCCAAAATTAACCTCCCCTTATTCCTCTACAGCCCTTCCGTTAACTGGCCTTGTCACATCACAACCCAATGCCTTTACAACTTCATTACTCTAAGTGAACCCAAGTCCTATGCTCAAGCGATCTCAAATCCAAAGTGGTGTGAAGCTATGGATGCTGAATTAAAGGCACTTAACAGAAATCAGACTTCGACCCTTATTGATCCACCACAAGATAAACATCCCATTGGATGCAAATAGGTGTACAAAATCAAACTTAAACTTGATGGTACTGTGGGCCGCTACAAAGCCAAGTTAGTAGCAAAGGGCTATAACCAAACTGAAGGGATTCATTACAATGAGATGTATGCTCCCATTAAAAAACTTGCCATGGTTCGATGCCTCCTATCCATTTCTGTTGTTCGCAATTGGGAATTACGTCAAATGGATGTAAATAATGCATTCCTTCATGGAGATTTACACGAA